GAGTCAGTGAGAAGAAGATGCTTTGACCGAAGACACCCATTCATTAACAGGTAGACACATTACCAGAGAAGATCATGAGGAGTCAAGAAAATAAGATTACAGTAAGAAAAGTCAAACCTGGAATCAGCCTGAAAATTTACTGGTGGGTCCACCTGTAGGATGTGGGATAGGAAAGTAAAGACCAGAAACAGGCAGATTATGTTCAATTAGAGAAGCTAGGCTAACTGTATAATTGTGCCAGAGATAGGTCCAAGTGTGCGTGTGTGTTTGTGGGCATTTTTCGAGTTGGTGTCTTAATGAGAGGTAATTAATGACATGCTCGATCAAGAGGGGGATACTATCACATTTACACATTCACAATTGTTATCTTGAGAGACAAGAGTGCGCTTTAGGCGATTCAGGAATGGAGAACGGAGACGATCAATTTTCCCACAAGCGGTTCTGAATCAAGCCAGATATAAAGCCTCATCGATTTAGAGAAAATGGGGTGGAGATGATGTGGATAACTGGGTGGTGGGTCTGGAGCCTAGGAAAAAGATACCTAGGCATGAGTATCGCCAGTTTTAAATCTTCGAATAAAGCGTGAACGGGGACCGGAACAGAAGGCTCATGGGCAGCCGGATTTCAGACAGCCAGACAGTGATTCGCATGTAACAGGGAGCAAATGACTAGCAGGGTGCAGGGGAGCCAAATGAAGTTCAGAGGCATGTAGAAAAAGTGTGCCTTGCAAACGATATCTGAAATCGATGATGAAGGTGATTACGCTTCACTTTTAGGTTACATTGGAGGAAACGAGAACACACAATGGTATGAATAGGTAAATGGGCCATATGTAGTTGGATTTTAAGTAGATGCAGCACTAAAAGGTAGGACAATAAATAAGGACGAGGAATGATGCCCCAGCAGTTGAACAGAAAGCTGGTCAATGAGATTGCCTTAACTAGTCGCTTTAAAAAGTTGTATCTGTCCTAAGGATAGTGCCTCTCAATGATGATGCCGGCGCAACGTCTGAGAATGTACCAAGTAAACGGTCCTATGCTGGAAATTATCATCACTATGACGGAGCGCAAGACTAAGTACGTTACATGAATTCTGCCTGTCGCTCCAACTAAGTTACAAAAACAAATTTAAACCAACACTACATAGTTAAAGGAAACTGCGACCAAATAAAAAGCCATGCTCTCACGGTCTTCAATTCTAATAAATATCTTTGCTTACTGAATAGAAATATCAGGAAGAGCCATCAAGTAGAACACACAAATCGCCTGTAAAGGTATATTGATCCAAAAATCTGAGCTCTCTGAACACATGTTTAATACAACAGACTGGCCCAAAACAACGTTTGCTGGTTACATGGACTTTATATTAAAGAAAAATTAGGGAGCCTATAGAAATAAGTATAATAGACAATAATGTGAATGGGAGGAACGAGTGTAGCAAATTAGGTATGAACTATTTATGGCTTTTGGATAGGATTAAGGAGCGAAAGAAGGAAGAAAAGAAAGAACTACTCAGCAAAAAGCTGAAATATCCTCGATTCCAGTTAGGGTTGTCATACCCTTCATACATACGCACAATAAAGATTATCCCAAACTTAAACATGATAAACATTAGAGGATCGTAAGCTAGTTTATTTATATATGAAAACAGCAGCCATCATATCGATTTCCTTATCATGACTTAACCTAATTTATCTTTAAGTGTGTTAAGTTTGGAGTAGCCAACCAAATCATGGCAGCCTTTTTAAGATCACAAGAATAGGTATAAGTGACTAGGGTTGCAGCCAGCCACCTTTATTTTAGTTTAGCATATTGTTTACGCTATTTCGTAAAATATTGATTGTTTATCTGGTAGTGTCTGTCGCATTACACACGAAAGCTTAGCAAAGGTTCATCGGGGTTGCAGAATAGTGATCCGGGGACTTCTTTGCACAATCCAACAATCTTCACTCCGTGGCAATCCTCCTTCGGCTTCCGGTGGGACAAATTAACCAATTACTTCCAAATTCTTAAAAATGGAAAATCGAGTCAAAATAACGCACAAAGAGATTGTTCGAAACCCAGCTTTTCTACATATATCATCATCTTCTAAATGAGCAATCACCTGAGCAAAATTTATTCCTTGGTATTATGCTTTAAATGTTGCGATTATTCTTTGGGCCATGGAAAGCAATAAACATATCGTGCTCACCGGTAAGAATATTACTTTTAGATTCTCACAGAAAGCTATTATAATAATGCTAGATGTAGCTTTTAAACCTCATGAAGTTCATGTTGCTTACCTTTCACCGGTATTTCATATGCATGTTTCAAAATATTCCGTACTGTTGATTCACTCATTGCATCTGCTAAATTTTAGAATTGCTATCACCACGCTTGGAAATTTTTATTACATAACATTTTTGTCCTACTGTAATCAACAGTTGCTTCTGTTTTTACCTACAATGTTCACTATAACATTCTTACTTATATCCATATCTAAAACGTCAATGTCATATCGTTTTTAATATACTTTACTACATAAATAAAACTTGATAGTGTGGTAAGCATCAACACATGCATAAAGGGCAATGGCACAAAGACAACTGATGTGTTTTTTCTGCTCCCTTATAAGTTTAACACAACTAGCCAAATTGTGGCTCACAGTACACTCGGTATGGGATCATTTTATAACCATTAGGACTCGTATTAATAGGGACCTGCATACATATGTGAATGGATTTACATGCAGCTTTAAAAATTTTGCCCTTTTTAAATCTCAATAAACGTAAATCAGAAACAGTATTTCCTCCGTCTTTATAGAAGACATAGGTGGCCATTTTATTTTAAAGGAGAATTCACATTCGTAATGATCGGAACTGCCTGACCCTGCTAAGCCAATAAACACGCACGCTGCCTGAGTGAAACAAAATATAAAGCATTCTGGGAAATTCGAATCAAATAATTTAAACGAAAGCATGAAGACCAAGATGGTGTGGTCGCAGTCTCCTTTAGTTCTATGGAGGTTGTTTGACCTTGTTTTCGCAACTTCATCATATTGGTAGAAAGACTTAGAGAAAAACACCTAGTCCGGAGTCCATAGTATGCATGATCATTTTAAAAGTCGGACAGTGGACGTAGTACATTCCCAGACTTTTAGCCGGCATCGTCACTGAGTCTCGCCATTCTTAGCAAACACAATAAGTCGTCAAAGAGACAAGTGAAGCCGATCCTTTGACCAAACAGTTGTGGTATCTCCCCTTCTGTTCTGGGCGATTTACATTTCCTATATCTTCGTATCACGCCTTCATTGTTACAATTTATATGTAGTGTGGTCTGCTTCTTTGAGCGCCATTCATGAAAACCCTTCACACTCCACCCTGGCGTTCTCAACTCCCTTTCACCCATGTGCTGGGAATGTTGATCAGAGTTTGCCATATTGTTACGCATACCTTCTTCCATATGTCCTATCACAGTCTCTCTCTTTCCCTGTAGGATCCGTATTCTATCTCCCTGGCTCACGTATTTTACTCGAGCCCTGCCACCCCATCTGTGCTACTCGAGTGTTATTACTCCTCGAATGCGTCTGGGTGATTAATTCGAGGCTAAAAAATCTGAATAAGTCTCATGGTCACGTATTTGCTACATGGACTACATCTCTAGTAAAGCCTACTGTCAGCCAACTAGCTCCTGTCTCCGTAGCGTCTATCCAACCCACAAACATTGTGGTTCAACATTGAACCTAGTCAAAGCAAGCAGTACCACAACATTTGTGGGTTAGCACACAAGATACTAGGGCATAGCAAATCATAAACTTGGTATTAGGGATAGAAACAGGATAGACAGGGCGGAGACTGGAGCTAGTTGGCTGACAGTAGGTTTTACCAGAGACGTTGTCCATGTAGCAAAGGCGTGACTATGAGACTTATTCAGAGGTTTTAGCCTCGAATTAGTCACCCAGACTCATTCGAGGAGTAATAACACTCGAGTAGCACAGATGGGGTGGCAGGAGTCTAGTAAAATACGTGAAACAGGGAGATAGAATACGGATCTTACAGGGTAAGAGAGAGACTGTGATAGGACCTATGGAAGAAGGAATGCGTAACAATATGGCAAACTCTGATCAACATTCCCAGCAAATGGGTGAAGGGGAGTTGAGAAAGCCAGGGTGGAGTGTGAAGGGTTTTCATGAATGGCGCTCAAAGAAGCAGACCACACTACATCTAAATAAGCACGGTAAAAATTGTAACAGTGAAGGCGTGATACGAAGATATAGGAAATGTGAACAGCCCAGGGCAAAGGGGAGATACCACAACTGTTTAGCAAATGTTTGGTCAAAGGATGGACTTCACTTGTCTCTGTCTTTTTTGACGAGTTGTTGTGTGGTGCTAAGAATGACAAGACTCACTGACGATGCCAGAGAAACGTATGGGAATGTACCACATACGCGGTCCGACTTTGGAAATGATCATGCACACAATCCCCTCCGGACTAGGTGCGTTTCTCTAAGTCTTCCGACCAATATGACCAAGTTGCGAAAACAAGGTCAAACAACCTCTATCAAATAGTTCAAAGCCGTCAAAATATTAGGTAAGAGAATGTGGTATAGATGAGAGGCGCCTGACTCCTATATAAATTGAGATAATGGCGAAAAACAACTTGCTGGAGCATATACAAAAAATATCCAGGAGAAAATACTAAAGTTCTAGGCTGCAGTATGCCTATGATGATATTATCTAGGCACCTAATCATTTAAGTTTCAGCATTGCTATTAGAAATGGAGTTTCTTAATAGATCAGCATGAATGCCAAGGCGAATATAGTCCGATTAAACAAAGGGTAAGGAACAAGAAATCAGCCCAGTGATCTTACTATTATTAATCAGGAATATTCTTGAAAGGCCTATAAATACAGCAAATTCATTGCATCATTGAAAAGGAGCATTTGAGGTTGTATAAGAGTGAGTGGGAATGTTTCCTGAGATAGGAACTGAACATTGCATATAGACATTAGTTAGCTAGACTCACTTAGAGCGATTGACAATTTCGATTGCCGAGTCACGATCCATCCAGGCGGCATCGGCCTGCTCATCACCTAGAGTCGAGTCAGGTAACTTCGGGACAGGAGAAACTTGCAAAACGGAAAATGCCGTCATATTGAGAGGCCGAAGACGTGGATAGGCGGAGAGGCGAGCCATCTTGTTACGGATTGGCGGGGGACCATCCGAAGAGTCACCACTTTTCCCTACAGGCCCAGCAACGCCGCGGAATGACCAGTGACGATGATGATGGTGATGATGATTTTCGTGGCCATGCCGACGGCGGGGGTGGTGGCCAAGACGAAAGTGATGATGATGATGGCGGTGACGCCGCATAGAAACGTCTTCGCTTGTATCATCCATTTTAGCACCTCGCAAGTTTTGGTGAACATCACCATCACAGCCTTTAAACAAGTCAGGCCAGAGTTTGGGTAATTGCCGTTGAAAAAGAGAAGTATAAGGGTACGACTAAGTATAAAATTTTCGAAAAATACAACTGCTCGAGAAGTACAATTATTTAGCTACGAAGTGTGTCTTTGAATAAATAAGTTATTTATGAAAACCTTAGTTAGTGAATAGTGGTTGATTTACCTTATTTCACAACTTCATCATATTGGTAGGAAGACCTAAGGAACGCGCCTTGTCCGGAGTCCATAAGATGCACGATAATCTCCAGTCTTACAGTGAACTTGGTGCGCGGTGCGTTCCTCTAGGCCATCCAGTCAATATGACCAAGTTGCAAAAACAAGGTCAAACAACTACTATACATCGAAAGGAGACTGGAAACAAAATAGAAGCCACAACATCTTGGTCTTTGTATCATAGTTTATGAAGTTAACTAAAGCTTTGCCTGCAAACCAATGAATCAGAACTTATGAAAAAGTATCAAGGGGGAAAGCATAATACCTAACAAATGACCTACAGAGTCAAATAAATGTTAAAAAAATAGAACTAATATGCAACCGCAGCCTGGTTAGAAACCGATGTCATTTTAAATTTGAAAATGGAATAGGGTAAAAGACCAAACAGTGAATTGTGAAAATTTATAAAGGTTAATTAATCTGATAAAAGCATATGCTATAAAGGTATGAAGAACAG